CACGATCTCCTTAGGGCAGGGGACAAGGCAGCGACGTGAGCTGGAGGTGAGCCCCGGCAGTCGCACTGGAGGAGGTAATCGGGCGGGCAGCAGAGACAGCAGTAGCAGGAGTTGGAGGAGCAGTTGCCCATTAACTGCTCCTCTATCTCCATCAAGGGTCAAAATTAGGGGTGTTTTATACATTGGGGGTTGTATACATGGTAAAATACGATAGTATACCATTCCTTTCTTCTGGGGGTGACCTGAGGCTGCGCAGCTTACGCAAAGTTACACAGACTGGCAGCGCTCATAGGAGGCACAGTGGGGAATTGAACTCCCAACCTCTGGTCCTGCAGCAAGATACCTAAACTACCGAGCTATCCAGCCAACTCATCCTTAACTATTAAAAGACTAAAAAAAGACAGTTAAATTGCAAAATAGCCTTATTAGCCTGCAATTTCCATGTATCTTAGTTTTACTTTCGTGATTAGAAAAGTGAATTTATAACAAACACTAGTTGGTGGTAACTGATTACTTCCAGACGCTGATACTCATTTTACCCACATATAGGAATATGTGTGAAGCAGCCTAAAGAACTGGCAAGCATTTGAAAGAGGATGTGATTAGACAGGTGTTTAGCCTGCTGTTTTGACCACTGCAGGGATCGGTTGGTTTGCTTTTTTCTTTTTTCTTTTATCTTTTTTTACAGTGATCACACCACATAATTACTGAAGTGAATCAAATTGTTCCTTTCTGGCCCCTGCCAGGGGCTTCCACTTTTTTGGTGTGGGTAGGATTGTTCGGGTTTTGTCTGTTTCCAGTACAGTACATGTGATCTCTGGCAATGGGCCAATAGCAAGCTATCCTCTAAATTGCCAGTATTGTGAAGTGGCTTAAGGAGAGAGCCACTTCATGATATTGGCAAATTATTCACTTCCTTGGCGGGGTGGAGGGGCCGAGGAGGTGAACATTTGTGTGTATTAGGCCACAAATATTTGCTGCATCACTTTAAAGACCTAGAAGTCTAATACTGTAGAAAGCAAATGTGGTTGGGGCAATGCAGCACAGCTTGCTGTCAGTCTGCCTGCTGTCAAAATACACATTTGCTTTCAAACTAGTCTGCTATGTCTTTAAAGTGGTGCAGTTATGCTCCCATTGACACAACTCCGGGAGGCAGTGGAAGATAGGAGGGCCTGGTGTGCTCTGGTCCATGGGGTCACGAAGAGTCGGACATGACTAAACGAAACGACGAAAAAAAATCTGCTCCTCTGATGAGGAGCTGAGGAAGTGGTTCTTCTTAGACCACTTCACGATATTAGCAAATTGACAGCAAGCTGTCTTGCTACAGACACAATAAGGTTGTTTGAGAGCTATATGCCATTTGGATGCGAAGATCCTTCCAAAAGATATACTGGACATCTTCACAACCTTAAGACTGCTCCTAAGGGCATGTGTAGAAAAGCCCCAAGTGACTTCATATATGTACCTGCAAACACTGTGGGTGCTAAAGCATTCTGAGAATTGTAGTGGTGATGGTGCTTGATATAACATGAATTATTCCTGTTACTGTTTTCATAGGGATTGAATCCAGAAAGATTTCAGTAACCTGCAAACACTGTGGGTGCTAAAGCATTGTAAGAATTGTAGTGGTGATGGTGCTCGATATAACATGAATTTTGCCTGTTACTGTTTTCATAGGGATTGAATGCAGAAAGATTTCAGTAGGTTTGGACTGGAATCAGCTTCACATTGATATAACCTAATAATAATAATAATAATAATAATAATAATAATGATGATGATGATGATGATGATGATGATGATGATGATGATGATGATGATGATGATGATGATGATGATGATGATTTAAAAAACCACTGCCACCACCTTTGAACTGCAGAGCTTGAAGGGATCATATGGATCATACAGTCAATCCAGCTGCTCTCAAGGAGGCACAGTGGGGAATTGAACTCTCAGCCTCTGGTTCTGCAGCTGGAGACATAAGCCATTGAGTTTGTACCTATCTTGTTTGAAATCAGTATGAACGTTTGATCTACCATCAAAGTGTATGCTAAACCCATGTCATGCAAGTACAACTTGGGGTTCTTTTATCCCGCTTGGTCACAATATATTCTCTGATATTTTTGAAAATTCATTATGGTCGTACATATTAATAAAAGTGCATCATATGTTGGCCAGATAAAGTTTTCATGGCTTTCTTAAGGCTTATTTATGGGCAGAATGTTTGCACCCACATCTTTTACCAGACAGCATGGGTTGGGTGTGGTTTGCTAACTAAATGAGTTTCTGTTCCAGAGGAGACTGGAGGAATCAATTTTGTGTCTGTTCTTTTCTCATAAATACATTTATCCAAGAATCTTTCCCACAAGAGTTTCCATGAAGGAGTCTAAATTTATTGCTCTTAGATTATGCACACTGTGTTTGATCTTGACCGACGTCATTGCTGCCAGAACCACAATGACGCTGACTGCTGCATTCATGTGATTATATAAGCAGAAAAATCTCTTTCCTTCATAGCAAAGCATATTCTCTGTAGCTATATTTAAACATGGGGTTCATGCTAAAATATTCTCATGCTTTGCCTCACCCCCATTACAATTGCTGAAGGCTCTTCTCGGTATCTTGTCAGTTACATTCAGTTTTGTCATAGCCTCTCCTACACCAGTTTAAAAGCCAATAGGATGTTTACTCCTTGGGCTAGAAGTATACAGTACTAGGTAAACATAGTTCTCCTGCAGCATGTTATCAGCCATTCAAAATGACCTTCAACAGAAGCAGAATGTGGAATGACAGTTTGGAGTTCACACTTGCCCATTTTCATGCATAAAGCCGCACGCAAGTAGAAATGAGCTATGTGTACATGCACACACGCACATCTTCTAAACGATTTGGAAAGAGAGAATTGAACATTGGAGGAGATAAGGAATTCCAAAAAAAAAGATGATGATATGGTGTTTTGCCGGCCTTGTTGTTGCTGTTGTTCTCTGACTGAAGGCTGATATGAGCATACCTATTCAAGTTTTAGGCATTGCAGCTCCAGGTAACAGAAAATTACTGCTTCCCCCTAGTAATTAAAAGAAGTTGGAGTATATTGAAAATTAACCTTAGCTGCTGCCGAAAGTCCCAAAATTGCTCAGGAAATGAAAAATTGGAATGAGAACGATGATGTCAGGGCACCAGATTATAATTCTATTTCCCTTTGAATTGGGCCGGGGCTGAATTCCATTGTAATTCAAGCTCAGTAATTGGTTCGGCATACCTTCATAAGCAGTGGAACCCCAGTTTACAGAGTGAAAATTGTGGTTGAAATATCTTACAGCTGACTATGGGCTGTAACCCACAAGTGTTCTGACGTGCAATATGACGTAAAAAGAACTCTTAATTGTAAATTGCTAGCACGTTTAGTGCAATTTGCAAGCTTAATTCTTAACAAAGCTGGCTTTTGTTCTGCTGCTAAGAGGGCAGAAGGCTAAACAAATACCAGATACTTTTTGAATAAATCTTAAAACTCAGAGAACTGCCTGATTGGTCTGTCTAGCTCTATGCCCTGACTAGCAGCCGCTCTCCAGAGTTTCACATGGGTGACTTTCCTAGCCCACGTTGTACATTATTTTCACACAGTCATTATTTATTCTGCCTAGATCCAGTTAATTGACTTTTTTTTCTCCAGTTAAACTGAAAATCTGAATTTATTTGAGGGCTCTACACAGGTTCAATGGGATTTCAAATAAGATTCAGGTTTTATTTCAGCTGAGGAAATAAATAAATTTATTTCAACTTCCTGTGAGAAAAGTAAGGAGAAAAGCCATAATTGTAGATTCTTATACTGTACATAGGTTCAGACAAGTTCTCTTTTTATACCAAGGTCAGAGCAAAACATATTGAAGTCATGCACAAATATATTGCCAATTATACAGAAGGGCAAAGATCTGTTTTATTTAGGAGGCCAATTTTCTTTCTTTAACAAATCAAGGATGTTTGGACATTCTTGACAGGTGTTAGCCTCATGGGATCTGAAAAGCAGATGTTTTCCACTCTGTGTGTTCTTCTGCATAGATACCCAAATTAATTATGGACCTGCAGAAAGCTGTGGGGGATTTTAAAACAAAATTTTAGCCTACAAACACCCTTTTCCAATTTTTTTAAGAGAAGAAATGTGAATGTTATTTTAATGAGCTACTTTGATTATGAGTGATGGGAGGTTAAAAGTTCTATAGAGTTCTAGCTGTCCATTTTTCTTTAAGTTTATAGACTGCTTAGCTTCATGCTTGAGTAATTGCACTTGCTTTTGAAAGCAATCACAGACTGATTCAAACTTCAGAGAGGCAGTTAAAGGAATTGTGGAAAGTAGGATGCCTATTTGGACCATATGATGATGGCATGGTATCACGGAAGTCATTTACTTTCCCCCTCTTGTACATATATGTAGGCAACAAGATAATGAGCTGTGTTAAGAACTGATCATGTAGCTTGACTTTTTAAAATATAATTAATCTTTTTTATTAGACACTTGTCTTTTCCTTGGGGAAGCTTGCGGTCTGGCATGAGTCAATCCTGGCATCTCTTTCCTTACTGGTGGACCCCTTTCTGTAAGGTTTCGTCATGGAAGAGTTATGATAGATATCCACCAAAGTGTCTGTAAGGTTGTTGCTCTCCATAAGGCTTTTCCATCCTAGAGCTCAGCACATTGGACTACAACGTCCAGAATTCTCCAGCCAGCTTGGTCTTGACTACTGCTATCCCATCATTCACTTTTCCCATCTTCTTTTCATATACCCTCCAGCAGGCCCTCTTGGAGTTCCTGCAAGCGTTGCTTGGTCCAGGGATCTTGGGCTTCGCTGGCCTGAATTTCCTCAGCCAGGGACAAGCGGATTGTAGTGGCTGCGAAGACTGAGGGTGATAAGATAGGTGTGGCCGGAGTCTCTTCAGAGGGTGATACAGCGTATTCAGGTTTGCAGGAAAGGGCGTCAGCTTTCCAATTCTGGGTCTGTGGGATATAGGTAATGCGGAAGTCAAACCGGGAGAAGAAGAGGCACCACCTGATCTGGCGTTGATTGAGGCGTCGGGCTGTTTGCAAGTGTTCCAGATTCCAGTGGTCAGTCAAAACATGGATGGGTTGATGGGCACCTTCAAGGTAATGCATCAAAAGCGGTTTTGAAGGCCAGGAGTTCCCACTCCCAGATGGTGTAGTTGTGTTCTGAAGGTGTTAACTGCCGGAAATAAAAAGCATAGGGCTGCAGTGACTGTGAGAGATCCCCCCGGTGGGACAGCACTGCACCCAGGGCCACGCTGGAGGCATCCGTCTCCACAGTAAATGGTAGTCTGGGATCTGGATTACACAGGAAAAAGCGGTTTTGAAGGCCAGGAGTTCCCACTCCCAGATGGTGTAGTTGTGTTCTGAAGGTGTTAACTGCCGGAAATAAAAAGCATAGGGCTGCAGTGACTGTGAGAGATCCCCCCGGTGGGACAGCACTGCACCCAGGGCCACACTGGAGGCATCCGTCTCCACAGTAAATGGTAGTCTGGGATCTGGATAACACAGGATTGGCTTGGTCGTAAAGCAAGTTTTCAGGGTCGTGAAGGCATGGTCTGCCTCTGGAGTCCAAAGAAACGGCTCTTTGGGCCGGAGGAGATGGGTCAGAGGTGTGGTTATGTCCGCATAGGCTGGTATAAACTGGCAGTAATAGTTCACAAAGCCGAGAACCCGCTGCACATCTTTATGATTCCGGGGCTTCCGCCAGGTCAGAACCGCTTCTATTTTCTTTGGGTCCATCTGGGTCCCATGGGGTGACACAATGTGGCCTAGGAACTCAACTTCCTGCAGGTTGAACGCACACTTCCAGCTTGGCATAGAGTCGGTGATCTCGTAGTCGTTGTAAGACCTGGCGAACGTGTTCTGTGTGCCGAGCGGGGCTTCGGAATAAATCAAAATGTCATCCAAATAGATGATCATAAAGCGATTGAGCGGGTCTCGGAAGATGATGTTCATGAACCGCTGGAATACAGCCGGAGTGTTGGTCAAGCCGAAAGTCATGACCAGGTATTCATGCTGGCCATAATGAGTCCCGAAAGTTGTCTTCCCCTTGTCGCCTGCACAAATTCTCACCAAATTGTAGGCGCCACGTAGGTCCAGCTTGGTATAGACCTGGGCCCCCGTAAGGCGATACATGCGTTCAACTATCAATGGCAGGGGGTAGCGGTCCCTAATTGTTCAATTAGGGGAAGGGTCTCCTCATCCCCACTCCAACCCCAGAATGAGGACCCCTCTCCTGGGCTGGCCAACCACGGTCCGGGTAGACCCCCATCTTCCGTAACTTGGCGAGATGGCATGCTTTCTTCCTTTCGAGCTCTCTCGCTATAGCTTCTCTCTCCTCTCTCAGCCGGCGTCTCCACTCTTTAGCCTGCGTCTGTCCCCAGCATGAAGGACAGTGTCATTGCCCTTGTCTTCTCTGTCTCTCCGCCTCCTCCTGAGGCACTTTTACTTGCTCCCAGGTACTGGTCCAGGGGTCCTGGACCCAAATCATTTCCCAGCCCCCCGGGATCCCTCTTCCCTTCACTTTTATATCCCCTGCTCCCGCCTCTATCTCTCCTCCCCCGCTTCCCGCCAAACTTCTCCCAGGTTTGCTCATTACGCTTAACACTTTTGCCACCTCCACCAGGTCACTAGTGTCGACCCCTTGATGTTTCTGTCTTTACCTTTCTCTTATTTCTTCCAACTCTCCAGTGTCCGCCTGTTTGTCCTCTTTCCTAGGCGGAGAAGGTGGGGGAGTAGTCTGGGTTGTGCTAGGACGCGATGGGAGCGACGGCACTCCCACATAAGCCTCTTGGCTCTGGCTTGGGGCTTTGCAATGATATAAAGGATTACCCCTATTTCTATCTCATCAGAGTATATTGCACAATGAAGATGGGCTTTATATTAAGAAGGCAATCAAAGAATCCAATAATCTATATTATAAATGCTATAGGAAATGGATAGTTGAGCTCCTCCTGCCCTATGCTGTCTTCCCTAATTCAGCAGTGGAACAGAGAGAGGCAGAAAGAAAAAGTTGCTTCCTGAGATACCTCTATGTTCTACATCACAATGATTATAAAACTCGGTTAGTGACAAAAAGATTAAGAAAACAGAGATTATCTTTGAAACAGCTATTGTTATGAATAGGAAAGTGCAGCACAGGCAAAGGATATAAATCAGTAGTTATGCCTCCTGTTTAAGTTCATTTCTCTCCCACCAAATGGAGCTGAATAAAATTCTCTCCTACTTGCAAAATCAGTTTGACTGTGCTCTTTCATTTTCATAAGTCAAATTATGCAAATATCAGCACAGAGAGGGTCATGTCCCTGCCTCCATATCACTGTCATAGATGAAAAGCCTCTCAGGGGAAAAAAGGTGGCAATCTTATTTCAGTGCCACAAATGTGGTTGAAAACACAAAGAATAAAACTCAGTTTTTAAAGATTTAAGTACTCAAAAAGCCCAGACTTAAGAATCTGTCTTGGCTTTTCCTGGATTTAATATCTTTAAACTTAAAGTTATTTCTATCCCAAATATCAAGAGATTTGTTAATTTTAGTAAATGCTTATCAAAAGAGTACCCAGTGTTGTGTAATGAGTAGAGTGACAGATTAGAGCTCAGGAGACCTGGGTTCGAATCTCCACTTGGCGGTGGGAGTGAGGATGGAAGTGATAAAACCAGAGTTCAAGTACCTCACCTTGAAAGACCTATTAGGACCACTATCATGTGGTTCTGATTCGATAGCACACAATACACAAACACTTGTGAAAAACAAAATGAAACAAAATTTCCATCCATCCCTAATGATGAGAGGAAAAATATTAAAATCACATCAGTTGTAACTTTTGGAATCATCCATATGTTATGCAGTTCAATCAGAAGAAAAAGGAAGTGTTTAGGCTACATCATTTGGTGTTTTTAAAATTTTGCAAAATACTATATACGCTACCAGGAAAACATTCCTGTGCAGTAGATACATTTTTGGTATTTATTGAAGCCAGTGGGGAATGCTGTTTGCCTACAGATGCATTTTTAACAGCATGTTAAGACAGTTCAGACATTCACAGTCCTATGCAAATCAATTAAGTATTTTGCAAAAATAAATTGTGACAGGGAAAGTCATCAGTCACGTGAAAAAGGGGGAAACCCCAATGAAAGCATATTTTCAGAAGAATTCTCTTGTGAGTCCTATTTGTGCAAAAAAAGGGGAGAATGTTTCAACCTCCTTCTCCTCACCACCACCCTTGTGGATTAACATCTAACAACAGCATTTGAAATGCCAGCAAATAGTGCAGTCTCTTGAGAGAAGCACAGCATGTATTTTTATCTAAAGGAAATTTGTTGGGCTAAAGACTTCTGCTGCACTGGAGGACTTGTATAAACTATTCCACATTCAGTTAGGCAGTTTAATTCAATATAAAGTACTTTCTCAAGGAGAAATATTTTAATGCATTTCAATTCTGCTGTGCCATGGAAGTGGTTTGGGAATTTGTGTGTGTGCATGCATGCTATCTTCTGAGGAGCATCGCTGAAGATTTTCTGATGAAAATATTTGGTTAATTAACTAGATGTTAACCGAGCCCTGGAATGCATTTGTACTAGCATGTTACCTGGAAAATCTCATGTTATTTGTGAATTATTTACATTAAACAGAGGCACTTGATACTATTTCATTTTGGAATTGGTTGTGGGGAACATATGTTCTTCTTTTAACAGGAAATACTTGCCATGCATTGTTATAATTAGGATGTTTTGGGGGGTTTTTGGTTACCTTTAGTTCTTCTTCGTGGCCTCTGTGAATCACACGGTGGGTGATCTGCGCCCATGCGGAGCCTCATCGGAATATTCTAGCGCTTCTGAGGTAGTAAAAAACACATTAGAATAGACCCCTCCCCCTCCGGATAAGTACCTTGGCACCAGGACTCTCCCTTAAATTTCTTTCAACCGCCGCATTGAAGAGCCTCGTACTTCTACTGTGAGTCTGAAAAAGAAACAAGTCTTTTTTTACTTGTAACTTAATTTTTTTTCCTACTTTTCTTTATTATCAATATAAAGATAACATAATATGAACTGCTTTTAGTTTTTTTCCTGTGTGCCTTGGCCTCCGGCTGTCGCACCCCCCCATAGTTTTTTGCTTTTTCTTTTCTTAATTTTTCATGGCCCTTTTGTGCCTGTTCAAGCACTGTGTGATTTGTGATAATAAGATCCCACCATCGGATTTCCACGCGAAGTGCCTTTTTTGTCTAGGCAAAGCATACCAAACTTCCTCGTGTCCTCATTGCAAAAATTTTAAATGAGGAGTCCTCTGTTCTCGCCTATCTCGACTCAAACTCCGTCTCTGGGAACAGTCTTTGCAACCAGTAAAACTATGGCTCAACCTCTGTGTAAAACCACTTCACAAACTAAAGCCATGGAAAAAGGCATTGCAGAATCGTCAAAACATCGTTCCTCCGCTACTCCATCTCATTCTGATGTGCCCTGCACTTCGTTGAAAACCTCTAAGACACATAGATCCACGCAAATGAAATCGAAAACTTCGACATTGAAGCCTTCCAAAAAACGAAAGCCTCTCTCCGATCTGGTCCCAGGTCCCATGCAACCGAAGTGATCTAAACAGACCAAATCAAAGACTCCTGTGGTCCCTCCACAACAGGTCTCTGAACCCAGCAATTTAATTTCTGTCAGTTCACCCTCTGATGATGAAGGAATTCCGGCATGGGACGAGCAAATGGACCGTCTTACTTCCTCACCTAATAGTCCCCGACACTCTATCTCTCCTGCTAACTCGTCCACTCAGTTTCGAAGCAGATCAATAATCTCTACCAGATACCTGACCTAGGAGCACTTTTTCTCCAAAAACAGCCAACCCCAAATTTGATATTTGTTGAGGCCTCACAATCTCGATCTCGACATCGACAGACTCTTATCCCACCTAACAAAGACAGTCGAAGAATCGACTCTATGGGCAGGTGGCTTTACTCATCAGCGGCTTTCACTACGAGGGTAGCTAACTGCCAAGCAGCTATGGGAGCATATCAACGCTTCCTTTGGGATAGCATGGCCACTTTTCTTGATTCTTTGCCAGAGGATAAAGTACTAGCACAAACCTTCCAACAGGAAGGCCTTTCTGTCACTAAACAACAAATG